AACAACAATAATGTGATTCATGTAAGAAGTACTCCAGAGGGCAGAGACATGGCTCAGTGGGTAAAAGCACTTGCCACCAAGCGTGACAACCTTTTAGTTCCATCCCCAAGTCCCACATGGTAGAAGGAGAGTTGCTTCTGACCTCCACACATGTGCTATGAGAGAGAAAATAAGTAAATGTTGAAAACAGTACTCCAAACATGGTACCAAAACACCACCATTTAAAATTAAATGTTGCGGGGGTGGGGAAAAATTAAATTAAATTGCTAAGACAGATGTGGTGGCTCATGCCTGTAATCTCAACATGCAAGAAGGTGAGGCAGGGTTTGAAGCCAGCATGGGCTACAGAGTGACAGTCTCACAAAACAAAATACAAGTAAAATCTCAGCACTGCTAAGCATTGACTGAGGGCTTCACCTGTCAACCTCTGCAAAGCATCTGTGTTCTACCTTCACGTCATCAACCAAGTCTCCAGAGTCTGTCCCTCACCAGTGGCAGTTTCTACAATAGCATGGGCTTTTTGCAAAAACGACATCTCATCAACAGAGACACAGCCACCAGTAAGAACAAGGACATAACTACGCTCTCTGTGGGCCAGATGCATACCCTAGAGCCAGATACATAACCCCTCCCCCGCCCCGCTCCCTTCCCTGTTAACCTTCATCCTCCTGGGTAGGAGGCCTTGATGAGAAATACAGAGCATACCCACAGGACTTGCTGGATTTGGGGACAACACCCGGGGGCAGCAGGGAAACAGAAGAATACCTGAGAGTCTGGGGGCTTGGAACAGTTCATAAGCTACACCACTTATTTCTAGTAACGGGATAAAGAAAACCACTCAATAAATGGCAATGGGAAAATGTACTGTTTTGGAAAAACTGGGGCCTAGCTTATATAAAATACAGAAAGAAATTCTAGCTGCCTTAATCATTAGAAATGAAATAAGACAATTGCTAAGAAACATAGACGTGGAGATCTAGGTAATCCTGGGATATAAAACAAGATCTATTAATGGGGCTGGAGGTGTAGTCCATGATGGAGTGTGTAACATGAATGACGCCCAGTCTAATCCCCAGCACTAAAAGCCTCGAAGGGGGTGGGGGTGGGGGAACACCAAAATATATGGCCGTGGACACTACTCCATAATCATTGAACATACTGTGTTCAAAAAAAGTGAAATTACAGTTATAAAATATCACCGGGCGTGGTGGTGCACACTTTTAATCCCAGCACTTGGGAGGGAGAGGCAAGTGGATCTCTGTGAATTCAAGGCCAGCCTGGTCTACATAGTGAGTTCCAGGACAGCTGGGGCTACAGGGAGACCCTGTCTCAAAAAGACCAAAAAAAAAAAAAAAGTCATGTCTTAAAGGTTTAAAGGTTTAACATAGTAATGTTAACCATAAAAACTTAAGAATTTATAGAACTCTTTGCATTTTTTTATACCAAGTGTCTATGTCCAGGCTAGAAAGATGACTCAGTGGTTAAGAACACTGGCTGCTCTTGCAGAGGACTTGGGTTCAATTCCCAGCACCAACATGGTGGCTAATAACCATCCTTAACTCTAGTCCCAGGGGATCTGAAGCTCTCTTCTGGCCTCCACAGACATTGTACAACATGAGTACACTTACATACATGCATGCAAAACACTAATATACATAAAACAAAGTAATTTTTTCATGTGCTCATGAAAATGTGCACTGAGGGGTTTGAGGGAAAGATCAATAAACAAAATATCAGTAGATATACTTAGCTAACAGAAATAAATCACCTTTATTCCATTCTGATGTTTGTACAGTTTTCAATTTCTTGAAAAAAAAAAAACAGAAAACAATCATTTCTTGAAAACTACAACAATTTTCAATAGTCATAATGTATGGCCCCAAACCAAACTGTGTTACAAATTCACCAAAATCCTAATAATACATAGTGCAATTGGCTGTCTCCAGTTGGCTAGGCTAGTTAACAAGTGTAGGAAGCAAATGAAATTCCAGAGGAAAAGCAAATACTCCATAAGAAGGTGAAAAATCAGGTTTTCTCTACAAGAGGGGCCACTGCAGGAAGCCACTTTCTGGCTTTCCTACCTACAGCAACACATATAGTTGCAAGAGGAACCCACTGAAAGTGAGATACAGAGAAAAACACATTAGGTAAGTAAACACAGGATGGTCATCATTGTCCACAGGTGACTTCACAAAGTCAAGCCCTTCCTATATAGTGTACTAGAATGACAATGCCAACAGAGCAGCTTAACACAATGACCCCATCCTCAGTCTTCATCAGCATCACCTGGACCTCTTGTCAAAACACATAAGAATGCACATGTATCCCAGAGCTTCTGACTACCAAATCAATCTGGAGAGATGCTAGACCTCTACCTCATTCTAATAAGCTCCCAGGTGATGCTGATGCTGCTCTGCTGAGTGCTTTACTTTGGAGAGCAGCTGCTCTAAAGAACGGCAATAGATGCTCCACATACATCATCTTCAACAGCAGGAATTATAAAAACATCCCTTGAGAAACTCCAGCCTGTAAGAACAAGAAGCAAGTGAAACAGCCTCCTCCGTGCATGGAAGAACAAGCTCCCCAGGGAAAGCAGCACAGTACAGCAGCTCCCAACACTCTTAGGAAACCAGGCTGCCCTGGTTTAGATCCTGCTGGACACTGCAGTGTGATCCTAGACAGGTTAATCAAAGTATCTCAGCTTGAGTGTCTTCAGGTATAAACTTGAGGGAAAAGCTCATTTCTCTCCAGCTGGGAAATGGAATTGGCACCCACCCAAGCCAGCAATGGGAAGTCACTTTTTTTAAGATTGAGTCCTCCAACAGATACCGTGGCCACTACCTAAAATCCCAGCACTTAGGAGACTAAGATGGAAAAGAGGACTGCTGTGACTTCAAGGCCAGCCTGGGCTACAGAATGAGACTCCGTCCTCTGTGCTATATTGCCCAAGCTGGTCTCAGCTCCTCGACTCTTTGAGCTCAAGTCATCCTCCCATCTTAACTTCCCAAGAAGCTGGGACTACAGGTATGTTCCACCCACGCCCAGCTCTCCCTTCACCTACACTTTGAAAAATCAACAAATAGAATGTGCATCAAGAGTTCTGTGCCCTGACAAAAAGTTCAGGAGACTGAAACAGTTTACCTGCTTTGAGTTATTTTTTTTAATTTATTTTATTTTATTTTATGTGTAATCCATGTATTGCCTGCATGTAGGTAAGTGCACCTGTATTGTGCAATGGCCGCGGAGGTCAGAAGAGGTTGTCGGATCCCCTGGGACTGGAGTTACAGACAGTTGTCAGCTGCCATGTGGGTGCTGGGATTAGAACCCAGGTCTTCTGCAAGAACAACCAGTGTTCTTAACCACTGAGCCATCTCTCCAGCCCCGAGTTATTTTTTTTTTATATTAATCTCACCCATATTTCTTCCCGTTACATTCCCCTGTCCACCAAATGGCCAAGGTCAGGATCCTATACACACGGTATATGCCACAATTAAAATCAGAGCAAACGGCTTTTTTTCTTGAGATCTCCTAAGCGTTCCCATAAAAAAGGTAATATTAGAATATGTGAGAAAGATGAAAGAGGAAAAGGAATAATACTAGTCAGCCACGAGTGATTAAAAAGCAAAGGATCAGACCACCTTAGCAGGCCAGGCTACTAGATGGAAACCTTTATTCAGGAATGTCACTGGTCTAAGCCTAGTTACTACAATAAGAGAGACAGGGCTGGGGGCCCTCCCAGATCAAGGGACCCATCAGTGGTTTTCGGGTGGTAGGACTCCACATCAGAACTACAGGCATCAAAACCAGATAGCTCTCTGAAGACTAGAGATAAAGGCAAGACCCCACAGGTTTCAGGGACTCACCACCCCCCAGGAGTAGTAGTCCTTACAGGAGGGAATGAAAATTCCACCTAACAAGGAAAGATACTCCAGTGTGTTTCACAGTCAAAAGGAAAATGTGGAAGCTGATCTTGTTCAAGAATAGGGTCAAGAGATGAAGAAATGGTTGAGGGGATAAGAGCATGTACTGCTCTTCTGGAGGTTCTGAATTCAATTTCCAGCAAATGCACCAAGGAGCTCCTCAACTCCAGCTCCAATGTCTCTGGCCTCCAGGGTCACCTGCACTCATGTGCACATAGACACACATACTTTTTTTTAAAAAGAATAATGTCACCGGGCATGGTAGTGCACTCATTTGTTCCCAGCACTCTTTGGGAGGCAGAGACAGGAGGATCTCTCTGAGTTCAAAGTCAGCCTGGTCTACATAATGACTTCCAGCACAGCTGGGGCTACAGAGAGACCCTGTCTCAGTAAAATACAGACCAAAAAAAAAAAAAAAAAAACCCAAAAAATCAAACAAAACATAGTGTCCCCATTCATTAAATCAGTCATGAAAAGGTGCCATGACACACACAGCAGGCCAGAAAAGGACATTGTCGTTGAGGATATTAAAGAGAGAGAGAGAGAGAGAGAGAGAGAGAGAGAGAGAGAGAGACAGCGCCAGTGGAGCTGAAAGGCGCCTGGTAACGTGCACCATCAGAAGGGATGGGAACCCTGGGCCAGGGCGCCAAATCTAAGAGGAAGACTTCCCCTGCAATTACGTAAGGGAAGTAGTTCACAGCTGCTCAAAGGGAAAGAAAAAGATGCAGTTCGGGTGCAGGGGAGCCCTTGAAACCAGCGAAGGTGGGCATTCAGTCCAGGCAGCAGGTCCTGGGGCTGGGCTATGTGTGACTCCACCTCCACGCAGGCTCCACCGCATCCGCACCTCCCGCTGGTCCGCTTGCAGGTGGGAGCCACCGGCGTCCGCCACTGGTTCCCTGGTCCCCGCGCCCCCCTCCCGGCATGGAGCGGCGCACGCGCGGCGGGAAGCCCGACTTGGCCGACGGAGCTCAGAAACGCGTCCCTTAGTCCGTTCAATGACGTGCGCGGAGCATCGGGCGTGGGCAGCCGGAGCTGGAGCATCCAGCGCCTGGCGTGGCGGGCCGGGGATGGGACACTCACCAAAAGAACACGCGTGAGCAGAGGTTTGCGTCCTGCAGCGGATTGGGCTTCACCTCGGTGTGCACCGGCAGCATCTTGGCGGGGGTGGCCGAGCGCACGGGTACTGGAGGCGCGGGTCGGGGGATGCTGGCGCTCTGGCCACTGCGCCGGTCTGCTCCGTGGGAGCCTTTCAGGCAGGCGCTTCCGGGACCAGGGCGCTACGGCACGCCCCGACCCCGCCTCCCGGGTCTCCTCCGGGCGCCCGCTACACGCCACCGCCGCCTCCTGGAGCGGGGGAGCTGCGTGTCCGTGCGAGCGCGGCAGGGGAGGCGCGTGACGGCGGGAATTGGGGGCGACGGGCCCGGGCGCGCAGACCTGAGGGGGCACGCGAGACCTACCGACCAGCGCCCACGTGCTGGGACCGGCCCGATCTTTGCCGAAGTTTAAGATCAGCGCCAGGGCACCACCCTGAAGGTGGGGCAGGAGCGGTGCGGTTGTGCCCGCCCCCGCTCTCGGAAACGCCCTCTCGGCTAGACCTGGAGGAAGCAGCCAGGCGGCTTTGGCTGCACCTTCTTTGGGGCACGTCGCCTTCATCAGCACCAAACAGGGCGCTGTGGGAGGTTCTCCAAGCGTTTGACCTCAGACGACTGCAGGGTGTAACATTGTCTTTGTAGAGCTGCAAGCCCTAAAAGACGGGCAGGTAACGTGCGATTATAACTCAAGCGCTTGGGGCAGATGAATGAATGCTGTCACCGGGGTGGACGTTTTGGCTGCTCCCATATTGTTTTGCATGGCAGGCTTCTCCGAGCTTTTGGCTGCCCTCTTAGATAGAGAAAGGGAGATCAAATAGGAGGCTGCCTGCTGTATTTCTTTCATCGAGAGCTGAGAGGCTAGCAGAGGAACAGTGGCAAAGGGAACAGATGTTACAGTTACAGGACACTGTGATGTACCTTTCTGGGCACTTGACTCACTTTTTATCCTAATAATGCCCTATTCAGGACAGTCATTCTTATTTTACAGAATAAACTCAGACTCCAAAGTTGAGCTCGTCCAAGGTTTAGGGTCAGTGATGAGAAGCCTAATTTGTACTCAAGTTGGCCTGTGAACTTGGACTATTTCCGACATGAGAAATGCTCAAAGGGTAAACGATGAATAAATAGGATACAGTTTCCAGCTTTTGGCCACCAGTCCTAGTGTCAGTTCTGTGCGTGGCAGTGTTAACCACCTCCACTGCTTCTGTTTCCTTCAGCACCAAAAGAAGGAACACATTAGAGGTTATGAGTTCACAGTGCTAGCAACAATATCATTTTAAAACTGTTCTAGTTTGCTTCCTGTTACTGCGATAAAACATTGACCAAAAACAACTTAGGGGAGGAAAGGGTCTATTTCACCTTATACCTCCAGGTAACAGTCCATCAATGAGGGAAATAAGGCAAGGACTGAGGCAGAAGCCATGGAGGAATGCTGCCCTCTGGCTCATGCTCAGATAGCTTTCTTATACAGCCCAGGCCCACCTGCCTAGGGATGATGCCACCCACAATGGGCTGGGCCATCCCATATCAAGATAATCTCTCACAGACATGGCCACAGGCTAAGATGACCTGGAAAATTCTTCAGTTGAGGTTCCCTCTTCCCAGGTGACTCTGGCTTGTGTCAAGTTGAAGATAAACACTAACCAGCATCCTTTCTTTGGTCATTTCCCATATAAATTTCTTTAAATTGTCCTATTTGTTTAATAATGACTTTTAAAGTCTTACTATAAGTAAGCATTAATCTAAAAGTCAAACCATATACATTGGTCCAGCACTTTGGAAGTAGAGGCAGGAAGATCAGGAGCTCAGAGTCATCCTTGGTACATAAGGAGTTGCCTAGTTTAAAAATAAATTTTTGCCGGGCGTGGTGGCACACACCTTTTGTCCCAGCACTCAGGAGGCAGAGGCAGAGGCAGGTGGATCTATGTTAGTTCAAGATCAGCCTGGTCTACATAGTAAGCTCCAGGCCAGCTGGGGCTATAAGGAGACCCTGTCTCAAAAATGCAAAAAAAAAAAAATTTTTTTGAGGTGGGGGACATAACCAAGCTAGTAAAGTCTTGCTTTAGTTCAATCCCCAGAACTCCCATTTAAAGGGGGGGGGGAAAGCCTGGCATTGTGGTACACATATTCCCAGCACTGGGGAGGCAAAGACAGGTGAATCCCTGGGGCTCTAGCCAGTGAGGGAATCAAAAACAAAAAATGCGGGTGGCACACAAGTTACAACACCTGAGGTTGTCCTCTGGCCTCCACATGCACATGTACAAAATCCACACAAATACAAATGATTTTTTTTTAAGTTAAAATCAAATGCAGCAGGGTACAGTACCCAGAGCCTATAGTCAAAGTTTAAGAATGATACCGTGTTTGGTCTTTTTTTTTTTTTTTTTGAGACAACGTGTCACTATGTAGCCCTGGCAGACCTGGAACTCACTATGTAGACCAGGCTGGCCTTAAACTCACAGAGATCTGCCTGCGTCTGACTCCCAACTAATGGCATGTGCCGCCATGCCTGTCAAGAATATCTTCAGCCCAGGAGTTTGGAACCAACATTGCTATACCTGTCTCTCAAATAATAATAATAATAAATTCAAACCAAGTACATAAATGTGGCAAAATGTTGATCATTTTTGAGCCAAATGATGAGGTTTTTATACAATTTGGGGAACATTTCATGCATATTTGAGATTTCTCATCAAAAAAAGGAAGATAGTACTTCAACTGGAATATTTTAAGAGAACTATGGTCATTCAGCTACCTCCCTTTCTGTGTTAACTGTTTCTCAGATGAGGCAACCTCTAAGCCAAAATAGACTGTCCTTACCAGATTTATGATGCTCTTTCAAACTCCCAGCATTTTCTAGCCCAGTGTTTTCCCAGCTACTAGTTTCTACTTCAAAGCTGGCAAATTTGTCTGCTAAAGTTAGAAGTTACTCTGCCCAGCGACTATGTCACAACCATAATTAGCAGGCTCCAAACTGCCAGGGCACTTAGTCCCTCTCTCTAGCTTCTGCTGAGTTACTGGCTTTCATTTTGTTCAACTTAGCTCTTTTGAAACTTCTTAACATTCTTTTCTGAACATTAATGTGGCATTTAGAAGAAATACTGAGACCCAGTTGTCTGAGTGTAGAAAAGGGAGCCAGGGGAACAAAGCTCTCAACTTTTTCTTATTAGCTAGCCTTCTTTACCCTTTTTTCCTCAAGACTGTAGTGAGACTAAATCCTCGCTCTTCCTTCTTCAGAAGGTTATTGTGAGCCTCATAGCCCCTCAATGCATTTTGAAAGCAGTAGACAAGTGAAAGGAAATTTTCTCATCTACAAATATTGGAGATGGAATATAGCTGTGTGGTAGAGTGCTAGCTTAGTATGAGGCTCTGGGTTGAATCCCCAGTACCACACACACACACATACAATTATATATGCATACATATGTATGTGTATATAAATAGGAGTGTGTGTGTGTGTGTGTGTGTTCATTTGGTGAATGCCTTCTTTTTTTTTTTTTTTCTTTTTGAGACATGATCTCCCTATAGTCCCACCTGGCCTGGAACTCACTTTGTAGACCAGGGTGGCCTCGAACTCACAGAGATCTGCCTGCCTCTGCCTCCTGAGTGCTGGGATTACAGGGGTGTGCCACCATGCCTGGTGAATGCCTTCTTTATACTTGACAATTAGGTAGTGAATGCTTCCTTTGTACTTGACAGTTAGACCGAGCACTAGCTGCAAAGGTGGGAGAACAATCTCTTTTTGTGCTTGTTTACTGCCTTTCAATAATCCAATACTATAACTAAAAAGTCAGGCAATAACAAGTGTCTGGGAGGAACTGGAGCACCCATGCTTCACTAATGAAGGAGTACACTGATGGAGCCTATACTGGCAGCCCTTCAAGAAATTAAAGAGTTAACCTGTGACTCAGCAGTTCCACTGCTAGCAGTCTAGCCAAGAGGAATGAAAGTGCATGTCCACATGAAAGCTTGCAGCTGGATGTCAAAGCAGCATTCTTCCTAAAGGCCAAAAAAGAGGCCTGTCAGCTTATGAGGGGTAAATGAAAGGTGGCATATCCAAATGATAGAATATTATTTGGCACTTTATAAAAAAGAATGAAACATTGATGTTGTAACATGGCTGAATATTAAAAATAAGCTTGGGCCAGCAAGATGGCTGAGTGGGGAAAGGCACTTGCTTCAAGCCTGGCATCTAGACTTGAGAGGACTGCCAAAAGTTGACCTCTGACCTCCACCCATGCACTGTGGTACAGAAACAGTCACATGCAAGCACAGTCAGTCAATCAATCAATCAATCAATCAATCAATCAATTTTAAGGTGTAATTTCTTTAAAGAGCTCTGTCTTTTAAAATACCATGCTAAGGTGGGGTGTGTGGCTCGGTGCCTGTAATTGAACACTAAGGAGACTGAGGCAGGGGGATCATGGGTTTGAGGCTAGTTTGGATTACATAGTGAGACCCTGATTGTTGGAGCTGAGGTTATAGCTCAATGGTAGGGCACTTGTCTAGCTAGGCCCAAAGCCTTGAATTCAATACCCAGCACTGAAAAGAAAAAAAGAAAGAAAGAAAGAAAGAAAGAAAGAAAAAAAGAAAGAAAGAAAGAAAGAAAGAAAGAAAGAAAGAAAGAAAGAAATAGCACGCAAGAAAACCTGAGAAAATCAACTTGCAAGGTTTCTTTTAGGATCTTGAGGGTTGTCTATGATCACTGGGCCCAGTTGCTTTGGGCCCCTGGTGGCAGAGTACATCTTGGTGGTCAGTCAGAGCTTGAAGTAGAGAAGAACATCGACTCAGAGCCTAGAGGAAGCAAAGTAGGGAAGAGCAGATTCCCTTCACCAGCAAATAACCTAGTGTCCCCATCCAAGCCCCACCTCTTAAGGGTTCCCCCACACACACAGTAGCAGTACAGCATGCTAGGTGGTGCTAATTAACATTAGAACCTTTGGGGGACATTAAGATCCAGACCGTAGGATTGGAGAGGTGGTTAAGAGCACTGACTCAACCCATGTTTGATTCCCAGCATGGTAGCTAACAACCCTCCATAGCTCTAGTTCTAGGGGTTGTGACACCTGCTTCTGACCTCCATAGGTGTTGCATACACATAGTGTGCTTACATACATGCAAAAAAAAAACATTCATACATATAAAATACATTTTTTTAACCCAAACCATAACTAGGCTTGATGACATATTCAATGCTAGCTACTTAGACTGAGGCAAAAGATCAAAAATTCAAGGCCTGGCCGGGCATGGTGGCACACGCCCTTAATCCCAGCAGAGGCAGGTGGATCTCTTTGAGTTCCAGGCCAGCCCAGTAAGTTCCAGGCCAGCTGGGGCTACAGGGAGACCCTGTCTCAAAGAGACCAAAATAAATAAATAAAATAAAATGGGGCTG